AATGAGACAGATACGAATCGCCGACGTAATTCCGTGGAATTGCGTACGTACGGTTTCTCGATAAACCTAGCCATACTTTCCGGCAATTTAAGTAATCAGTAGACCAGCAGCAGCGACTCGATATGCATGCGAATACAAACCGGGAGATCTTGGAAAAATTCGCCGCGGAAATACCAGACACGTTAGCACAAGCCTCATGAACATAATCCCCTGGTATGTTACTGCGAAATTCCTTTGAAACTTCCGTTGAAAATTATTTACGCACATCTCTAACGATTTATCATCGAAACAAGGAAATTAATTGCCACCTTGTATGGAGAGCCTAGGTATGATTCATCTGAGCTCAGAGATAAAGCATCGTTCTTATCTTAATCTCATTCCTTTTGTTTGATTACATTATGAAAATAAAAATTCCAAATGCGCTTCAATTTTCATATAATTATATTTTTAGATTTTACAATCTGACTTCTTTCTATTTACTTTCCTGGATAAAAAGTGAATCATGAATTAGCATTTCTCAGAAGTCATTCGCATCTTAGAGAATGTAAACAGAAACTAATGAATTAAAAGAAAAAGTATACTTTTTTAAAAATTAGCAAGTGATTAATTTTGTATGAGGCTAATCTTTGTGAAGGCAGAAGTTAAATTTGGATTGAATTCTTCTGAATCGTTTGCTTTCACCGTGATTCCCGATGATGCAACGCGGTGGCCGATGAATAGGAAAAACGAGGTTTAACGTGGAGAAAATTGCACCCCCACGCCACGAGAAGAAAGAGTACATATAATTCAGTGGAACCACTGGAAGCCGGCCAACTAGAGCGGAAACGGTGAACGCGATCGCGGCAACCTTTGGAGTCTGTTTTTATTCGAGATTGATCGCGAAAATATTGGACGAAAAAGTTCCAATGTAAACGATTTTACGCCGTTTAATGTGTTTTTAACTTCCTCTTTTTATACTAATAATAATGTGTTTGAAAATGTGTCAGGGATATAATGACATGTTAGTCTTGTGAAAATAAATAAGGAATGAATATAGAATATCTATAAACTTCCATTACCTATTTTACCTACTTTCTGTAATATTTCAATAATTCATTACGTGTTACATTACGTGTAATTCAATTACCCAGAAAGTAAGTCAATTGTACATCATAACTCTTTATTTAATTATTACTAGTTTCTATCAATCGTAAAAACCTGCTACTATTTATTTATTTTTTCGGCTTTATATTTTGCCTTATAACTAAAGTCATATTCTATAATTAAAAAGTGACCCAATATTCTACATTATACTCTCCCGTTTCTCTTTTCAGCCCTCATATGTCTCTCCCTTACAAATCTGCTAGTATTTATTTGTTTCTTCTTTCGGCTTCGAACAATTTTCCGATGTTATATTTTGCGTCATAATTAAATTCATATGGACAGACTGTACCCTAACATAACTGATCCTATATTCTATATTACATTCTCCTCTTCCTTTTATCACCTCTCATATCTGTGTCCCTTGCGACATCTTCCCCTCATTTTCCGCTGCTCTCATACTACCTATACAAATATCAATTCACTTACATCTCACCCTTTATATGTTTCGTATAAATATGTATATATTTGTATTATATGTGTATTAAAAATGCTATATCACTGGAACGTTATGCGATAATTAAATAAACTGAAACCCAGATTTTCTATTTCCCACGACATACTAGGAAAGACCACATATATGACGCACCGGATGCACTGGAATGATAAAGAGATCAGACGGAGCAAAGTAAGCCGGCTTCGTCGAACGAAGGAACACGTGCTTCGTCCGCTCGTACGAACTGGTGGACCAGCTGAACAACGAACCGGTTTCACCGTTCGTCTACCATGGATCCTATTCGAAACGAGACGACGACGACAGATGTCCCAAGTTCTCTCTACCTGCTCCGAGTATCCCAATTTTAAATCGCAAAACGAGGGGAGAGAAAGGTTCTTCGAGAGGCTGAAAAGAGCCTCGACCAAAAGATAGACTGAATAAGCTTCAATTTTTGGCAATCTTCAACTTGTCCATAGATTCTTCGTTTCAATTAATTTCTTGTAAATTAATACATTATTTAATAATGTTATAATGCACGAATATCTTGTGTCTAATGAAGTATTGTTCTTTCGAGAGGCTTAGGAAAATCTCAACGAAATTTCAGTTAAATAAACTGAAACTAAATAAGGTTCCATTTTTTGGAATCTTGTTCAACTTGCTCGTAGATTATTCGTGTCAATTAATTTCTTGTAAATTAATACATTATTCAACAATATTATAATGCACGAATATCTTTTGTGTTTGACGAGAAATAATAGTTATCATATTAACAACAGTACATGTTAATTAGAACAAACACAGAATGTTCTGATTATCAAGCTATGTGATCAGCGTGCGTGTTTATGTATTCCGTTTGAGGAACGAAGGGGGCACTAATAACATCGAAAATGAATTCCAGCCTGATGACATATCGACCCAATCTGGCGCCAGCTTGTCTAATATGAAACAGGGAAGTGAAGCAGCTACCAGTGCTGTGTTATGTTGTAACACGTTTCGCATCCTATTATTCCATTTCTTTTCCTAATTGGTCAGTACAACCGTTATTTTATCAGTTATGTTAACCGCATTTTATGTAACTTCATACGTAATAAAATCGAACCCGCAATTGTGTTCCAATAAAATGCGAAATTCCTACTTTCTCCTTGGCACGATACAAAAATTTGGTATATCCCGATTCTGATTTATCAAACATTTTTAATGAATTTCCCTACAACTATCTGAGACATGAAAACATCAATTATTTGATAAGTAAAAAGGTTTGTACTTCGAATAATTCTCAACTGAATGTCTGATAAAACGGAGCTAAAAAATTATCAAACGAAGCACGGCGTTTCATGTTGTGATTCCCGTTCCCAAGCAACACGGCATTGCTGTACACGCTAGAAGCAACGATAGACTACGCGTCGCGATATCGAAATCGATAAAGTGCGAACATTTATCTGAAAGAACTCTCAAATCCTTTACGAATTAAATTTCAAATGTTACAATTCCTAATTGAAAGTAGTACAAGAATTTCCTTTTCGCAATACCGCAACGATTAAACAATATTTATATAACAGGACGTAACGCAAAATAAATTAACAATTTCTGATACTATCATAAAATCTTTCCACTTGGCGATAATTCTTACATTTTAAATTAGAAAAACTCTTCCTGATACGATGTGAATTAATTTAAAAAAAAAAAATATCTGGTCGCAGAAAAATCGATTGTACAGCACGTGTCGCAGTGATTTAAAGCAGCTACCGTGAGAAATTCAGAAGTTGTACAAAAGCTGCGCTTCTCGACAGCTCTCGGCTTTGAAAAATAATTGCATTCGAAGGGTTCCCCTTTCAGTCCGCGATGGCACAAAGCGTGCAGCTGTTGCTCCAAGTCAGCTGACGTGAAAAGTAACCACCTTACCGATATAAACACGAGCATTAACGTTAAACACACAGGCTTAACATGATTTTTCACGTTTTCCCTCACGCGACGTGAAAAACTGAGAAACTCGATGATTGACAAAATTTGTGGAAAAATAAAGTTATTATTTTCTAAAAATGAAATCTATGCAACGTTCATATAAATAATTGCAACAAAAGCATTCCTGCTTTACAAATAAAAAAATTTATGACGAATTGTGAAATTAGTATACTAATTTTGGAATAACTATTAATTTTATGTTTTGCGAGACAAAGTCGCTATATCGGTCGGTCATGTTCCTGACTTATTTCACTGGAACAGCGTGAAAATAGATTTTACGCGTACGTGAGTCAAATCGAGGACTGCGGCAGAAAGGGACTCGGCAGAAATTACTCGTGCCAGCCTTTGCCATTTGCATGCTGTTTCCGAAAATAAAACCCAAAGAGAGAAACGAGCGAAATGTGAATTTCGACCTCTGTGGCCCTCGCTTTAACGCTATAACGCTGTACCCTCTGTTTATTAAGTTGTCAGTCAACTTCGCATAATAACCAAATCAAATATCGCAATATCAACGTCGTTTATGGAGAAGTGGGTATAATGAAAAAACGCAGACAATTCGAAGGAATTGAGGCGACTTCCATTGAAGAGAAAAAAAGTTATTTGACTTCCACGTTACGCGTCCAAAGTCTTGCAGAATGTTTTCGTGCGACGCACTAAACAGGGAAATGAATTTCGGTTATCGTACGTGCTAATGTAAAGTTCATTCACGGCGATTGTTTTCAATGCGACTTATTACACAAACCTCTGCGTGGCGAGATTAAAAATGATTACGTTTGTCTACACTCCACTCCACACATTTGTGGTTTTCATTCCATGATTTTATGAAGGAATACACTTTCATTTAAGGAAAAACTGGAACTGAAAACTCTGCAAATTTAAATATGTATGCGACCATAGAAGATTTCATGTT